AAGTACGGTACGTTAAAATTTTGAGATTACCTTAATTGGCTTACAATTAAGAGTCGCGTAAGATATCTTTCTTGAATCAAGTTCTTAAGGTTATTCATTAAAAATAATTAATTAATAATTAAATTAAAAATCATCAAATTTTACAGATTTTTAGACGTAGATAAAAATATGTGAACAATTAATTAAAAATAATATATATACACGTAAAATTTGATTCTTAGATTGTAGATACAAGGGCAACAGATCGTGTATCCTGTACTTTAGATAATTTTATTTTTGCTAAACCTGATGTCAATTATTATGTTTAACTTCCAAATAACACTGATGCTCTTATTTCACATATTAGTATAGTCAAAGCAACCTCTTTACTTCTTTAAAAAATGTCCTATATGTGCCTAATTCCAATCTCAATTTGGCGTCAATTTCTTTGTTCACTAATTCTATACAAGTTGTCTTCTTCACTGATAAAATTTGTGCTGTCCAAGACCTTACCTCATGGACAGTGACTGGGGTAGTTAAGGTTTACTCAAGCTTATATCTCATGCAAGATAACAAGAATGAAAAGGAATTATTAAAATTTAGTCTTGAAAAACTTATTAAATTTCAAGCTGTATCTACGGTTAATACTTATGCCTCAATTTCAAAATCTTTTTAACTTGTGGCGTTTTAGATTAGATCATGCTCTTTTTTAGAGAATAAGTGTATTGCATAGACAATTTCCAAATACTCATTGTTCAAATAATCTCCTTTGTGAAATATTTCTTCTGGCTAAACAAACAAAACTTCTGTTTCCTATCCATATTTAGAGTTTTTGATATCATTCATGTGGATATCTGAGGACCTTATAAAGCTCCTCTATTGTCTAGTCAATGATTTTTTTTTACTATTGTTATTGACTTTACTTGTTTTAAATGGATATTTTTAATAAAATGTAAATCAAATGTGTCAAGCATTATTCCTTCATTTAAAATTTTGCTCAAAACCAGTTTAAAACATCAATTAAAGTTTTGAGGTCAGATAATGGTAAAGAATTCAACCTAAGTGTTTTTTATGCACAAACAGGCATTATTCATCAATTATCCTACAATAAGACACCACAGTAGAATGGTTTGGTTGAAATAAAACATTAACATATTTTAGTGGTAGCTAGATCCTTGTTACATCAGTCACACATACCTGTTCCATTTTGAGGTGATGCCATACTAATTACAATTCATAATATCAATAGAATGCCATCCAAAATTCTCCTTAATAAGACACTTTTTGAGCTCCTATATCACACTTTACCTTCATATGTTCATTTTAAGGTCTTTGTTTGTCTATGTTTTGTATTTACCTTGTCTCAGCATAGGAAAAAATTTGATAAAAGAGCTAGAAAATGTGTATTTTTAGGTTACCCTAATAGTGTTAAATGATACAAGGTATATGACATTGATGCCCATAAAGTCTTAATATCCAAAAATGTTATTTTCCATGAAAATGTTTTTCCTTTTCTAACAGTAAACCATGATAATAATTTCCATGCATTTTGTCAAACACCTGGTATGCCTACTTTTATTTTTAATCATTTTCATCTCAATATTTCCACATGTTGATTCTCATTTAAATATGCATGATACTTCTTCAAAAAATCGTTTTACACTACATTTGTCCAACTCCACACATAATTCACCTATTAGTATTGTTGAACCTGTACAAGCTAATGTTGTTCCCTCTTAACCTACTAATGTTGTTTCCTCTCAACCTCATATCACTTTTTTGACTAGAACGAGTTCTCGAATAAGACATGTTTCTAAGTACTTAAAAGCTTATCATACTGACTTACCTTCAAATTCAAATTGTGTCACCTCATATCCTATAACAAATTATTAATCTTCTCATAAATTGTCATTTATGCATGAGTCTTTCACTTTTTCCTTATCTCAAGTCCACGAACCACATTCATATCATTAAGTCGTTCATCATTCTTATTGAAGAGATGATATGGCACTTGAAGTATAAGCTTTAGAGGATAATAGGACATAGAGTATAGTGCCTTTACCCTCACAATGTTACATTATTGGTTGTAAATGGATGTACGAAGTGAAAATGAGAACTGATGGTAGTGTAGAAAAATATAAGGCTCGATTAGTGGCAAAGAGTTATAATCAAATTGAAAGGTTTGATTATCAAGAAACTTTTAGTCCTGTTACTAAACAAACTATAGTTAGAGTTTTTTTTTAGTATTGTAGTTGCATAAGGATTGGTTTTACCTCAACTTGATGTTAGCAATGCTTTTCTACGTGGAGATTTTGAAGGAAAAGCTTAATTTAATGCAAGTGGAGTATTCATCTGATTAAAAGTTTCTTTGCAAGTTACATAAATCCTTATATGGACTTAAACAGGCTTCCAAGCAATGGAATGCCAAATTATTACTTCTTCCATGCAACATGGTTTCAAACAATCTTTATCAAATTATTTTTTGTTTACTAAGTCTACTACAAATGGAGAGTTTGTGGCATTACTTGTTTATGTTGATGACATAGTTATTGGTAGTACTTCTAATCAATTAGTTGATGATGTAAAAGAGTATTTGAGTTCGCATTTCAAGCTAAAAAATCTTGGAATAGTCAAATATTTTCTAGAGTTTGAGGTTGCAAGGTCACTAGAGGCTACATTTATCTGTCAACGAAAATGTACACAAGATATATTAGATAAACATGGTTTACTTGGTACCAAACTAGTATCTACTCTTATGGACTATAATCATAAATTGTAAAAGGCTAAAGAAGAAGAGATTGTCAGATCCTACAAGATATCGATAGTTAATTGGGAAACTTATATATTTGGCATTTACAAAGCTAGACATGCCTTATGCAATGCAAGTGCTATCAAATTCATGGATAAACCTTCACATAAACATTTAATGGTAGCATTTTGAATATTGAAATACTTGAAGGGATCGCTAGGACAAAGGGTTCTGATGATATCAGAATCAAATTTGAAAATTCATGCTAATTCTGTTACAAGGTACAGTGCGTTTATTAAAAATTCTATGATTAGTTGGAAATCTTAAAAGCAGTCTATTGCTGCTCACAGTTTAACTGAATATCGTTTAATGGTAGCAACATGTTATGAAATTATATGGTTGAAGTCTTTATTAACAGATTTGGGGATTTGGCATGAAAAATCAATGAAGCTCTACTGTGATAGTTTGCAATCTATATTAGTAAAAACCCTGTGTTTTATGAACGTATGAAGCACATTAAATTAGACTACTACTTTAGTGGAAAAAAGGTACTTATAAGCTTAATTGAAGTGTATGTTTCCGCAAAAGCACAACTCGCAAATCTTTTCACATAAGCTTTACAACAAAAAAATTTTAATTGACTACTTAGCAAGATGAATGTGCTTAATGTACACAATTCATCTTGAGGGAGAGTACTAGATTAAAGATTAATGAAAAGAAGGCTGATGCATATTGTATAGAGGAATCGAAGAAGAAGATCACATGTTTGTCATGTGCTCAACCAATTAACAGAAAAGAATGTCGTGTGCATTATTTATTGTGGAAATTGCTTTTACTATTTTACTATTGCAATAACTAGTTCAATTTGTTGTTATTAGTTAGTTAATCATTCTTGTTTTGTTTGATAAGTTTCTAGCAGTAAAAATAGGACTTTTGTAATACATTTGCTAGTAATGAAAATTCTTAACATATTTCATTAAATTGTTGCATTTCCTCTCATCGATTTCTTGACTTCAACAAGCAAGTGGTGAAAAAGGAAATACCTAAGAAGGAGGATGTGGCTTGAAAAAGGAGGATGTGGTCAGAAATAGGAGGAGACAACTGTAGAAGAAAAAAAATTATCAGCCAATTACGTGTTGCCATGTGGATTTAATAATATTTTAACTATATAATTAATTATAAAATAATTAATTTATTGGTTAGATTATTTTAAAGACATATAGTTGAACCAATTCACCTATTGGTATATATTTATCTCCCAAAATAATTTAGAGATAATATTTATATTTTGACCAATCAAATATTAGCTATTGGTCATCCAATTTATCTCTAAACAAACTAAAATTATTTAGAGATAATATTTATATTTTGACCAATCAAATATTAGCTATTGGTCATCCAATTTATCTCTAAATAAATCCAAATAATTTGGAGATAATCTTCATATTTTTGACCAATTAAAATTTAATTATTAGTCATTTAAATTATTTCTAATAATTATATTAATTTAGAGATAAAAATCAAATTAGATTATTTAATTTATCTCTAAATAAATTGGAGATAATACCTAACTTCGATCAATCAAAATTCAAAGACTCAAAGTCTGGCCAATCAAAAGACTTTCAATGAGTCACATAATTTATCTTTAAATAAATTAAAATAATTTAGAGATAATTCAAAGAGA